AGGCAGTTCGCCACCAGGGAGCATCACCAGGCAGTTCGCCACCAAGTAGCTCATCACCAAGGCACGTCACCACCAGGTCAAACACGAGGTACTTAACCAAAAAATTTATACATCACAAAAAATGGTACGTGACCAAAAACGGTTGCATCACATATGGTTGGCAAGCCAGTCCGCAGCAATGTTTCCTTCTCTAAAAATGTGACGATACTCCACTGAAAGCAACAACCAGCAGCCTTCGATGATGAACTTAAATTTCCAAGGATGCTCCACCCGGTTTTTTAGACAATCAATTACCAGCTTAGAATCACCTTTTGATAATTATGCTTTTGCTGTTGATGTTGAATGCAACATTGTGGACTTCACAGGCAGTCCATGCTTCAGCTAGATTGATGAAAGAGACACCAATCTTATAAGCCTTGTAGTAAAGGATCTGGCCATTATGGTCCCTGGCTAGTGACTAAACAAGCAATCCTGCACTTCCCATTTACACAGGAGGCATCAAAAATTATTTTTATCTCATCTATATTCGGGCTTTACCACTTAACTGGAATACATTGTTTCTCTTTGTGACATTCAATGTTTGGATCCATGTACCTTGTCATTTCAAGGAAAGAGTTCCACAATCAATCATAATGGGAGGGGGGGCATTTCTTTTGTTAAAAACATACCTTGTGAATTTTCCCATCACAACAAACCAAAGACTTCCACCCCTCCACAATGAGTATACTTGATTCAAGGGAACGTGGAAAGTATTAGATGTGGTGAGCCACACTTGGCGACAGGGCAATTAATAAAAAATATGGTTTATGTCTTCCTCTTCACCACATATACTACACAAACCATCAATATCCATCCCTCTATCACACAGCATTTTCTTGGAAGGGAGTTCCTCATTTAGGAGAATAAACATTAAAAGTTTGATTTTCTGAGTGGTTCTCACATTCCAGATTTTGTTTATCTCGTTAGGGACCATAAAATGGTTACATTACTGTTGCATTGCAGCTAATGTGCTTCAAAGTCATTTACCAATTTTTCTTGTTTTCAGATCGTGTACTGCACCAGCTGAAAACAATCTACTGAAATGGGCAAAAGCAACTGATCTAATAGAATATGCAAGTTCATTTTTGACACCTCATTGTTATCAAAGTCTACTTCTAAGAATCTACTGAAATTTTGGTATAATTTATTCAATTGGATCTATATTTTCTATGTTTTGTTTTACATATACAAGTTCATAATTTTACCTGCTATCCACATCCAGTTTTATCA